GAAGGGAATTGGTGTTTTTGTGGTTCTGTCTGTCAGAGCTCATTTGTCCATGCTTGGCTTGTACTTTGTGCTGCCATGTGCCACCCCACCTCCAGCACATTCACCATTCCTAAGAAAACCAGAGCTGAAAAGGATTTATGGGCCAGGTGCCTCCATGAGCTCAGTCCCGGAGAACTAAGCATCCTTTCTCTGTAGAACCTGGGGAACTGGCCACGTCGGTACCCATATGTTCTGTATCCTGGCCTCCCCTGGAACCAGGAGCTAGGATGACAGAGTCAGGTCACTTAGCACAAGCCTATCCTTAATCCTGGAGAGGAGATAGGACACCTGACCCCAGAGGCCAGATTTGGGGGGAACAATGCTGAAGGCAAATGGATACCTATCCTTAGCATGGTCAGTCTGCTCTTTCGGACTGTCAGAAAGCCAGGTAGGTTACCAAGAGAGAATCATGTGGACCCAAGAACGTGTGCAACTTGGATCTCACATTCATTTGCGTTATATCTACAACTAAGAGCTGTTTTCAGGAAAGACAATTGGTGGTCTAATAAATCTAAATCCCAGTTCCCCAAAGTAATTTGCTCATCTCTTAAGGACCTATCAATAACTGCTTGATGAAATTGTAATGTTTCTGAGTTGGAAGAAATGGAATAGACTTAGGCTTCATATCTGAATAGCTAAATCGTACATTTTGGGCTTTTTAAAAGCAAATAATAAAAACAGTTTTACACAAGTTGCAAATTGCTTATAAGAAAGAACCAACCAAAGGAGACAGGAGTCAGGATAAACAAAATGAACATTATTTTTAATGTATGACAAGGTTGTTTGATGGTAACAATAAGAGATTTTAATGCAAGCTCTACATCCATCACTGGTTTAACACTCAAACCGGGAAACTTTGTGTGGGTCCCTAGGGGAGAGAAAATAAAGTGGACGAGTAGAGAACAGATCAAGTCTTCTGGAAGATAGCTGTTTGGCACCTCGGCATTTAATGCAAAATGTATAGCTCTTGGTGCTTCAGCTTCTTTGAGTCAAAAACAGAATAGTGTTTCATTTTAAAATTAACAAAAGCTTCTCAACACCCTATACTATGTATCATCTATGCTGTGGGATTCATAAATCCAGCAGTAGTTCCTAACCCCATGGCTCCTGCTAATAGGAAGAAGGGCCTGAAGCAGACTCAGATTTAAGAGCAGAGAAGCCCAGTAATTACAAAGGAGGAACCTACAATCTGCATGGCCAGAAATATACATTTCAATTATGGTTTATAGAGGGAATTTCATAAAACTGCCTATGATATATCTGATAGTGTGTGCTTCTATGGCACATTCTTTTTTTTCTTGAGCTGGTTATTCACATCCTGCTAGAAAATACTAGAACTGCCCAGTATTTCATATTTGCTATCGTCAAGGTTTATTTTTAGGGTACTGCTACTTTCGTCTTTGCATAAAATATTTGGGGGGAAATTTTGAGTCATAGCTGAAGCTAAATTCAAAGGATATAATTAACCCCAGGGGTCTTGTCAGAACAACCTGCCTATTGCTGCTGAATTGCAAACCAACATTTACAAATAATTGCCATATTGGTTTTGCTGAAATTGCCCATAATGATTTCAATCACAGCAGCCACCCTAGAACCTTAGGACCCTTTAAATCATTTCTTCTGCTAATGTATTCAGTTAAGCAATGAGTCTCCTGAATGCTGGGTTCTCACTGCTTCTGCAGTGACTCCTTCCCTGTCAAGCCTGGCTTTGTGCAGATTGCTTAGGAAAGGCTTTTTAACCCCATTTCTAACCTTTAAGAAATGTGGATGGTGGTAAACATTTGAAGATGAATTAGACAACTGAGTAAACAATTGCTTTATCCAAATTTTACTGTACTTACAGCAAGTTATAGAGCCACAAAGTCTATCAAAATCTCGATAATGTTAGTTGAAAATGATCTTCCTGTAGGAATACTGTCAGAGGAAGGGTTATGTTTAAGTCCAAGAGTCTCATGATTTTTTTAAAAATCATAACTATGTTCTTTCATTTACCTAGCAAAAGCATATCTTATCTTTAAGACTTCATTGCCAGACAGTCTACCTGGTATCTAGTAGACACACAGTACATATTTGGTGAATAAATTGTGTGGGAAAATCACTCTAAATAATACACCTAAAAATTATACGATAGAAAATTCTTAAAATTCTATGAAAAAACAATACACATCTGACTAACATGGTAGTCACTCAGATAAAATGGTAGCAAATTATAGTGTTCTAACTATAGTAAATGTTAGAACTTTAACTGTGGCACAGTTTTTAGGGGCTTTTCTTGTGATTCCCATAATATTTTTTTTTCTGAAACAAATCCAGACATGAGAGAGTTTCTTCTTGTGGGCCATTGGATTCTGCAAGCATTCCTTGGAGAGATTTTTTTTGTTCATGTATCTTTAAAGAGGCTTGGGATTCTCTTTTCAAAGATAGAACATTTTTGAGAAAAGTTTTCAAAAATTGTACAGCAAAAGTTGACAACTTTGTGCCTTAGAGATATAGAATTGTCAATCTAAGGGTATATCTCCCTAAAATTGGCTGAAGGCATATATCATAGGTTCATTTTTTCATGGTGTTGTAATAGCAGAGGCGTAGTTGGGAGATCACTCTAGTGCGGTGAACCTGTCACAGTGTCACCACATGGCAGAGCCGGAAGGAACCCTAGTATTCCATCCAGTGGCCACATGCTGCAGACATGCAAAAAGTGGTAACCTGGCTATGACATCACAGCTCCCGGGAAGCAGAGTTCAGAGAAGGCATCTCATGGTATTGACTCAGCCTTGAAAACCCACACTACTCCATTCCATGAGGAAAGAGTGAGATGCATCAGGCAAAGCAGCCCCCAGAAACTCATTTTTGAATGGTCCCAAGGAGTCCCTGGGGGAGCATGTGGTCCTTGCCTAGTTGATGTGTTAGAAGGGTCACTGACACTGCCTGATAGAAATCACCTCCTTCCTAAAGGCAGATACACCATCCAACACATAGCATGTTGCAATTAAGGTACATTTCCCATCAGTCAGGGTCACCATCCGTCCTAGCTTGCCTGGGCCTGAGGGGTTTCCTGGGATGTCAAACTTGCAGTGGTAAAACCTGGAATGTTCCAGTCTAACTGTGATAAGAAGGTTACCCTAATTAAGTCAGAGAGAGGAATCTACCAAGTTCTACGGTGTCTCCTCCTTTCATTGGTTCAACATTGTAGAATCTACACAGAGCTCCTGCCTACTCTAAAACAGACTCTACTTTGAGCTTCTTTTGACACTGGACACTTACAATGATGTAGACATACCTAAATTAGCATCTAAGATTTAGAAAAGTCTACATACCTTGATTTACCTAAACTAAATGTCTACATATTTTCCACTGAGTAGTTTGAGTGGTAGATAGTGGCTGAAAATCAGGATAATTTTTGCTTGAAGCCCATTTATTTTGGTAATCCTGTCTTCATTTTCCTTTAATTCCTTCTTGTAGAAAACAAATAATAAACACAACTTTTCCTAAACATCCCTAGACATCAAGACTGTATATCCTTCCTGCTGCAGGTGTTATTTGTCCCTGTCACTGTCGTTGCTCAAACCTAACCGTGCACCCAAGTCACCAAATGAGAGTCTGCATTTCTAACAAGTTCCAGGTGATATGCACGCTGCTGGCCTGATGTGCTAAATAGCGAGGCTTTATGTTAGCTCTCTACAGCTCCTCCTTGTATCAAAGGGAGGAGGCTCACAAAGTAGCTGGGCAAGGAGGCCAAGCTAAACACTGCCTCTGCCAGCAGCCCGCTCCCACAGGGCCAGTGGTACAGAGTGGGGTGATGAGGTCCACAGCCTAGTGACAGCCTTTTCCTGGCTCTTCTATCATGTTTGTGATTGTTTTCCTGGCCAGACAGAGGGACTCACCCATAAGGTTACTATTGCATAGCTTCCCCCAAGCCTCCTCTCTGAGCTCAAGAGATAATAATGGAGGTGGCTCCTCCCAGTAAGTGCAGGATTCCCAAGTGTGTTGAATCTTAATTGTTACTCTTGATATCAGATAATCTCTCACCTGTTGCTTTCAGCATACACTAACAAAATAGTTTCTCTCAAAGTAAATCCGCGTCTTAGAGAAGAGCCATCCTAGCCCTGGTAGTTTTTCACATTCAAGTTCATCTTTCTTCTCAAACTCGGATTCATAGCGCCTCAGTCTGAGCAAGCATATACTACACATAAAGAAAAACATTGACTTTTTTCCTTTTCTGTTGAGCAGCGCTAAAACCAATTTCTTTCTCTCCCCTCTCACAAAGAGAAAGTACTTTAATGACTGTTGCTTTAATACATTGAAGTGCTGAGGATTATCACTCACTCAGTTGAGCCATAAATGCCGTATAGTTACAGGAAACTTGCCTGTGGCAGTTTGTGCTTTATTTAATCATAACTGGAAACTTATTTTTCTAAATGATTCTAAACAATAAAATTTAATTCATGAAAAGCTAGTCACAAGAATGTAACAGCATTCAATCCCATTGGATCAAACCCTTGGGCCTTTGGGGTGAGTGATGTACCCGAGGGAAAAACTGGACTGTTTTGAAAAATAATTCTATGGGTGTAACCTTTCTGCTCAAACACTTACATTTTCCCATATTTCAGGCTGTCCGTCAAGATGTGCCAGGCTCATAAAAATTATATCTGCAGTGTGAGAGCAGCTGAAAGGAAATGAAAGTAGCAGTGAGAGAGACAGGAAAACCCTGTTAGTAAAACAGAGTGCTGGTAGGGAGAGTGTTACCCAGAACATTTACAAAAGACACACTCCCTTTGAGCTACAACTGAGTGATGCAACTAAGTGGAACTTGGAGGTTTTGTATTATTGTGTTTTAATCATTCAATTTGTGAAAAAGCAAGAAAAGTGCCCAGCCTTCCCCTCCCATCCCTATATCCCATTCTGATGGATCTGATTATCATTCTGTGGACCAAAATTTCATGTGAATTCACTGGCTGTTTCAGGGGAGCCCAGTGCACCTAAACTCGAAGGGCAGATGGGAGAGGACGGGAACTCTATTAAGGTGAACTTGATCAAGCAGGACGACGGCGGCTCCCCCATCAGACACTATCTGGTCAAGTACCGAGCGGTGAGTAGCCTTCTACCCCAGACTCTACCCCATCCCTGCATCACTGACACCTGCCTTGTCCTTTGAAGGGACAACCATGTGAAGCCCAGGTAGGCTGGAGTGAGACAGTTCTTGTACTGTGTCCTATGGCTGACTCATGGGCACTTGAGGATTTAAAATTCACAGGGTTTTAAATCCTAAGACCATCTGGAACTGTTAGACCATCGGACCATTTGAAAACACTTAAAATGATTGTGGTGTTGACAGACCCACACCATGATTGGTTTTCCTGGTTCTTAAATTTTTCTATAAAGTTATGTAAAGGCGTGTTCTCTGCACAAAAAGCCTGTGAAGCGGGACTTGAAATTTTCCTCACTGTACAGGTGAAGTAACCAGAGCTGCATCAGAAGCTGGAGGTCTTACCCAGCTGGGTGAGCTGGAATTTGAATTCAGGCTCAAGTAACTGATGAGCCTGGGCTCTTACCCCTGCCTGAAGCTGCCTTAAGATCCTAAGCCTGCACCGTTCCCTTCCCCTGCTCTTTGGCTCTAAGCCTCTTCTTTTGTCTTGCTCATCACTCATCTAAGATGTCCAGCATTCCACCTTTCACCCCCAACCTCTCCAAATCCAACGATGCTTGTTCATCATCAACCACAAGAGTTGCTAAGAGATGTTAAGACAGTCTCTGGGCATTGGGAACAGCCTGTTGCTAGAGTTTCTTAGCAATAGAAAATAATGAGCCAGAGAGCAGCTTCCTTTCTTCAAGTTGCCCAAGTAAGGCTTTTTCCAGGAAGTTGGCTTCCTCTCTCTGTCGTGTGATCAGCCCCTGAGGTGGAAGTGACATTTGGGTCATTAGCTAGTTAGGCTTCTAGAGAGTTGGTCCAGCACAGAGCCTTCCAGGCACTCCTCTCAGCCAGTGGGCAGGCTGTCAATGCAGCCCTGCTTCCCACTTAATTTCTAAGTCATGCCGGGGTGATCTGATATAGCAGGGGAAAACTCAGTTGACCTTTTAAGGCCCAGCCCAGAGGGACCACAGAATGAGAGGTCTGTATGCTTCCTCAGGGCAGAGAAGGATGCCAAGACCAGGCAGGTCTTTGCACACTCCACTGGAAGCAGATGGACTGGTAGGATGGACTGCCTCTGGCCATTGTTAAGCTAATGTGGCCCAGTAGACAGAGCATGGGTTTTAGAGCCAGACAGGCAAGGCATCCGGTTTCTGCTTTACTACATACCAGCATAAGACCTGACTAGGTCACCCAATCTTCCAAAACCTCCATTAGTTCACCTGCAAAATGGGGATAGAATAACTTACCAAGTTGTAAAGATTCACAATATTGTCTACAAAGAATCTGAAGTATGTGTGGCACTTGGAAGCCTCTATAAATGGTAACTGAAGTTTCTGCTAAGATGCAGGCTCCAGCTAGAAGTTTCTCCCACAAGAGGCCACCTCCAGGGCCAGCCATCATAACTGTGTTAGAAAGACAACCAACCGGAGTAAAACTCCCGAGCTATTTTAGATTTCAGTAATGTTAACCACCCTCTCCCTTTCACTTCAAAACTTATTGTTTGCTAACTATTATCATGTATTATTAATATGTATTATATAACATAATGTTTGCTTTATTGAATATTTGCTTTGTAGTCGGGTTGTCTCTTCTGTAATGATGTTTGCTGAGGAAGACAGAGAAAGAAGAGTACAGACAGACGGCTCAATTTTTTTGTTTTAAATGAAAACAGGACCCCGTAGTGGCAGACACAAAGCTAACTTACAGCACAGCCCAGGCATCCTGCTTAGGCGCTAGGAAATCAGAACTTTTTCTAGCATTTCCCCGTAATAATCTCAGGCCCTGGCATGGGCACTATCACATTCTTAAAGGTGTCTTTTTGACTGATCCAAATGCTTTTGCCTGGTAAGACCTCTTTTGCTGTAAGATGACTCCCATCAGCCCTGGGCCTGTGGGGCTCTGGACCACCTTCCATTGTTGCCATGTTCTGCTCTCAGAAGAGCAGCCTTTCAGTAAGCATTTGTCAGACCTTCCTGTGTGTCCAGCATGTATCTCAGGGCACAGGCCTCGAGAAAGGGCTGGAGGTTGTGATCAGAACCACATGAAGATTTCTCAGAGGCCTCTGCATCTTTTCCCACAACTGTTTTGTTAAGGAGGCGCTTGCTTAACAATGGCTTTGTAAACTCCCATCCAGTGCAAATTCATTGGCAAAGGTGAAAGCAATAACCAGAGAATGCTGGCTGAGAAAAAAAGACACACCCAGAATCCTAGCCTTCAAGCTTGTCATTTTGCCCTAGGCAATGCTGTGTGGGGCCCTCCTTGTGGGGTGCTCCTCATGGCCCTTCTGAGGATCTCTGGATCAGGCCTGACAGCAGAACCTCATCCCTTCAGCTACAGTGCTGGAGACCAAGTCACATTGTGTAGAATAAATAATAATATTGAAATTCATTTCAATAGATGTATGCCGAGCTCCCTACTATGAAAGCACCCTACACAGCTTTGGGCCCAGAGGGATTTAGCTCCAACCTTGACTACAGAGTGACTTTGGGAATTTACCTACCCTCCCTCTCACATCCCCATCATCAGGTTTGGTAAGAGCCTGACAAAAACCTCCTGTAGACTTATTGTAGAGACACAATGAGAAAATGTGTAGACAGCCTTTAGGTCAGTGCCTGGCACAAATTGGGTGCTCAATAAATGAGTGTTGATAGTGAAATTGGAGTCTATGCAGTGCTCACAGGTCAGAAAGGTGAATCACACACCTGAGTGTGAGCAGAATTCTGAAATAGAACAAGAAACGTATTCATTTAACTACACTTTTAAAAAGCCCTCATGTCTGTGTGCCCAGCATTCCAGAATGTAGACTGGACCAAAGGGGAATGTGCTTGAGCCCCTGCATGCCCTGAAAGTGTTGAGACAGTGAGGGTGTTGGCCCTGTGCACACTGGCACTTGCAAACCTTCAAGGTTGACCTCCCCATCTGTGCATTTTTCAGGCTCATAAAGAACAAGGACCATGTTCTTTTATTGCTTCCTGTTTTTGCAATTTGACACCTGTAGTTTTAGACTCCCTAAGTTTTGCCTTTTAGCAGGTCTCACCAGCATTTTTATTAAAACTTTCTGGTGTCTGGTATCTTTCCTGCCGATTTCTCCCAGAAGATTTCCTCTGAGTGGAAACCAGAGATCAGGCTCCCGTCTGGTAGTGACCATGTCATGCTCAAGTCCCTGGACTGGAATGCTGAGTACGAGGTGTATGTGGTGGCTGAGAACCAGCAAGGGAAGTCCAAGGCAGCTCATTTTGTGTTCAAGACCTCGGCCCAGCCCACAGCCATCCCAGGTATGACTGCCTCCGCTTTCTAGTAGTTTTCCGCTTTGAATTAATGCACAAGTGCTGCTCCTCCTAATGCGCCTGAACACCCTGACAACTTGCTTGCTTACAGCCATCCTCACGACTGGTTGCCCAGCCAAGCTTAGTTTTGCCTTGTACCTATCTGCGCAGTGGGTTGAGATGTACTGGACCCCCAGGAAGGCTTGGCCAAGCATCCTGGGGAAAAGGTCCTGTCTCATTCGGCCTTGAAGGACCGATGCTAACCAGTCCATGAACCCCTCAGATGGGAAATGCCCAGCTCCTGCCTTGCCTTGGATACTGGTTGAGTAAGGATCCTTTATGAGACCTTATCTGCCATCTACCATTCCATAATAGAACACATAACTGTTTTATGCACTTTCTATATGATGCTGGCTTTCTCTGCATGACCATGGTCCAAATCTCTTCTCTATGGTGACCCCAAGAGAAGGAAGAGATGGTGCCCAGTTAGTGACAAATCCTATCTGCCAAGGGCCTCTCCCCTGAAATGGAAATTAAATTGAACCTCTTAAAATGGAACAGGTGGAGAAGACAGATGCTGGAAAGCACCATCCATGAAAGGCAGGCAGTCTGCTAGAGATTGTATAGGTGGCAGAGCTCCTAGGAGATGCAGATCTGTCTCTAGGGATCCAGGATGGACTCAAGTGTGGGAATAAAGTGATAGTTCTGCTTTCTGGCCTAGCTACCTTGCCACTGATGACCAGTCCTCTCATTGGCCAAATCCCTCAAAGAAAAAGTTCTTCAGCTATCACTTTGCTTTTCCAGACCAGACAAATGCCAACCATAGGCAGGAGAAGAGACATAGATCTTACAGCTGCAAGCTGTTGGAGGGGACCCCATATACTCTGCCATGTTCAGGTGTGGTAGGAAGACAGTCTTGGGCAGCCCCCATTATGCCTGTCCCATCTGTAGAGATTGCCAGTTCCTTGGCTCAGTTGTCGTGATTGCTCCTTCCAGGGGGAGACAGGCCACAAGGGGTGTGGGCTGCTTGAAATGCAGGGCTGGGTGTGCAAAAGTGATATAGTCAGGCAGCAACAAAACAAGAGGTCGGTGAGTGATTCTGGATGGTTGCTTGTGTGTGAATGGATATGTCTGGGAGACACGTGGGGCCTCCAGCAAGTTGGCAGGTGAGTTTTAAGCTGTAGATCGAAGCGTGGACGGGAAGGTTCCTTGTCTCGGGCTGGGGTGGGCGTGTCCCTACAGGTGCAGAAGTCAAGGCACTTGGTGAGGAATGTTCTCATTGCTGCTTATTAGGATGTCCAAATCTGGGTGGACTTGCTTTTCCTCGCCCCTTCTTTCCTGTGTTATTTGGTCAGTTTTTCTTTGAAACTGACATAGGATGTGAGGTCCAGATCTGTCCTGCCTTTGCAGTCACTTAGAAGGTTGGAGAATGTGAGGCTTGAGTAAATTCTTTGCAGCAAGACAGATTCCTTAAGGCAGTTGTTCCCTGGGGTGAGCCCCCATAAGCAGTCACTTAGGCAGGCTGTGTTCCCATGCTGGATACTACCAGCAACATCAACTTCTGGAATTTGGGAGTCAGACACAAAAATATTAGGGAGACCTTGTCCTCCAGAATCCTTGTGAATCATCCAAGTGCCCACTAAGCCGGAGAGGGTTGCTCACCTTATCCATGATGGCTGTGCAGGTCTACTGTGCAGGACTTAGAAGGAGGTGGCTCTGCTTGGTTGGAAGTTCCTGGACATTGTATTATTGTCCAAGAATAAAACCTCTTTGCATCACAAGACACATTTGTGGTTGAATGCTGTGGTCAGCAGGGTGGTGGAGGTGAGGTGCACAGGACTCTAACAGCAGCACAATGGCGGTGTTTGTGCAGTAGGAAGACAGGTCTGCTTCAGCGCTACCAAGGCAGCCCCCACCTCATGCACAGTTTGCTGATCTAGCGCAGACATCCAATGCATCTCTACCGCTTCAGGCAAAATCACTAGCGACTAGAAGACCATACACTTGCTGGCTGCAACTGAGGCTTCACCTTAGTAAGAGGTAACACTGCCCTAATCAGACCCTGGGATTTCACTGTGGAGGCTCCTGTTCTCTCACTTTAATTTCATTTGCTCGCTGGCCCCTGACCTCCCCCAGTTAACCCCGCTGTGCTGCTTCTGGCCTTGCTGAGCTTCTGACCTGGCCTGTGGTATTGATACCGCACTGAACTCTTCCCTAACCTTTGTCAGTTTAATTTACTAAGTTGAATTAACCTTGAATTCTTGTGTTTTCTATATTTGACCTAATTGTTTTTCTTTTTATCTATTTTTTTTTCTCTGTTTCTGTCTCTGCCTTCTCTTTCCTTCTCTCCCCCTCCCTCCCCTTCCTGTGTCTGTCGTTACACTTGTCACCTTGGACGTCACTGGGACATCCCCACTGCCACATTTATTTTTAAACAACCACATTCTCTCTGGGGACCCATTGCCTAATACTGCAGCTACCTTGGGAGGCAATTCTGCATCCTACACCTTTGTCTCATTGCTTTTCTCTGCAGTGACTCTTCTTTTGCTCTGTTAGGAACTTGAACACAAAAACTAAATTTGCTTAAAAGCCCAGTTCCTATGAAAGCGATGAGTGCCCCTTTGGAAGAACCTGTCAGGACTACCTTGGCCCCACCACAGCCACTGAGCTGAGCGAGCAGTGTATGTGGAAGAGGAAGGCTTTGCAATTGGGAAAAGCTATACCTCCTGATTTTGGCCATTCACAAATATTTGTGCCACTTCATAAGGAGTTTGCCCCCTTTTTAATGGCAGTAAAAAGAATCTGAGAGCTCTTTCTTTAAATACTATGTTTTGAAAGAAGCATCGGGCTAGGTTCCCCCCGCAAAGTTCCTGCGTCTCTGCTACCTATTGCAATTTTTTTGTTCATACCTAAAATGTAGCAGAGGAAGAATTGGGGTTCTACAGCTCTCCTCAGATTGTCGAAATCGCCACATGCCCCCTCTCATTCTAACTCTGTGCCCCTCCTGTGCCCTTCAATTAATAGCTGGCTTGGCTTGCATTTAAGTATTTAAGTGCCCCAGTTTAAAGAGCCAGATTTGGTGATTCACCTGAGCACTCTGCTGACATGATGGGCAAATTAACCCCCCTGTTGCCTATGAAGTGGAAAAAGCTGAATCAATTAGGATATTTTCTGAGGCTGATGAATGTTCTGGGAGGTACTTTGGTCCTGGTATTATAACCAGTATCTTCTGCAGTTTCTGTGAACAGGGCCAAGACACAATGTGCCCAACACCTGCTGGCTTTGAAAGGTGCTTGTCTCCCAGCAGGGGTAATTCTCCTGTTGCTTAGCAGCATATCGCAGATCAGCACAGACCTCTGTGTCTTGGGGGTTGTGGTCTAGCTGTGACCCACATTGTTACCATAATCACCTGTACACCAGGCAGGTTGGAAGCTTCCACTGTGAACCAGTCCCAACTCCCGCCTTCACTGTTATACTCAGAAGTGAAAAAGGGGTGGAACAGGCCACTCCCAGACCACTCAGCCCCACTAAAGTGTCACTAAATCAGGGATGGCTCAGCCTGTCAGCTCTACCAGAATGCCCTAGCTTCCCTATTGGTCAATTGATTCAGTGACACTTTGAAAACCCTCATGAAAAGCCAGGTGCTCCTGTCAGCTGTTGGGGAGTTCACCCGGGAGAAGAGGTGGATGTTTTTTCTGAGGTTGGACATTTGGAGATGCAGGGCTGAATCCCACCCAGTAGTGTGAGCTTGTATGCTCGGGGGTGGACTTTCTACCAAATAAAGACTCCCTCCCCACTTGTGGTCACCCATCATTCTACCTATCTCATCTCTGAACATCTCCACAGAAGTTTGATTTTTGTTCTTTTTGGTTCTTTTTTTTTTTTTTCCTTTGTGTTTTAATGTTCAAAGACTAGCCTTTCCCTTTGGGAATTCAAATGACCCTGAGCTATGGTCTGTGGGCAAAGCTACCTGTGTTGGCACCCACCAATGTCCCCAGTATTCAGTGTTAAAGCTCCACGTGGCTTAACTCAGGCAGGCATCACCCTTGCCCAGCCACAAACCTCTCTCCTGGAGCCCAGACTCCTCTTCCCACCAGGCAGTGAAGCAGGATGGTTCTTGGGCACAGGGAAAAGCACTGGGGAGAGGAACATGGTACCCTAGGGCTGACATGAGAATCACAGGTCAGTTAGGGAGAGCTGTGGGGAGGGAGAAGAGATCCCCTCCATAATTCTCCTGTTCTTCTGGTCACCCTGGGTAGAAGTCACACATATTTACCCTATGGGGGCCAGCTCTGGGGTCAGACTCAGTCTGGTCCCAGGCCACCCAGAGGAAAGGGACAGCATTAGTATATCTGATATAACTCTAAATATTGAGAGGCCTGACTGTTCCTGTGCCCTCAGCACATCCCTCAGCTCATCCCAGGGCTGGACAACCCTCAGATAGAAAAACTTTGGGGTCTTGCAAACAGAGCTGTGGTTTATAATAGTTTGCCTTCAAAAGACAGAGATAGTGTGCATCCCTCCACCCACCTAACACTTGAGTTCCCAAGGAAGGCTGCCACCCCCAGCCCTGCCAGGGATCCTTAAGAAAGCGGCCCTCAGAGAGCCCCACAGGAACGCACACTCCTGCTTTGCCCAGCCACCCTACTTTTGTGCCCTGCGCTAGTGCTGTCCACATGCCACATGACATGGGGTTTCTCTGCTCATTTTTGGAATATTTATACAGCAGGTTTGGATCACATTTTTTACTAATAAGAATGCTAACATTGTTGTGTAGATAATCAGTGAGGCCTTTATGAAGTTTACACCTTTGCATTATTAAAGGATATAACAGTTCATGTGAATTCTCCAGCGTGTTTCAATTTTATTTAATGTTGTGTGTCCAACAAAGTGTCAAAAGCCCTTTCCCTCCGTCTCCCATGATAACTGATTACCTAGAGAGACATTTAAATTGGACCTCACATTCATAGCCTGATCTCATGGAGCTGTAGCCAAAGGAGTTTCTTTCCTCCCTCATGTGGAACACTGTTTTTATCAGCTATCCTAAGGAATCCATTTCTGCCTTAGAATCCTCAGCAGGCAGAGGAGGGGAAAGTGCCTTTGCAGAACTTGGAAGGTGGTTGCTCTGAGGACAGAGGCACATTCTGAGTCATTAGATGCATAGCTCTGAAACAAGGTCTTCCAATTACACAGCAACCTTTACTCCTAACAGAGGCTACAAGGGGATCTTGAGATAGAAATGAAAGAAGGTCCTCTTTGGCCAACTATGTTCTGTTTGTTATCATCCTTCGATACCTCTCAAAGGCCCCTGAGACCAGCCATCTGTGTAACAAGTTCCAGGAAGGAGCAAACAGACATGTGGGGTTTTATGAGTGAATCAGACTCCAGCTCAATTGTTCTGAGAATCTGACAGTCATGTGGAGGGTTAAGGGACAAAGAGGGAACTTCTACACCCATATCTCATGGCACAATGACTCTGGCTCACCTGGGCAGCTGTAAGGCATGAGAACCATGTTCCCAATTTAAGGCACAAGAAAGTAAGTGTCCGGGCTGGGGTTGTGGCTCAGTGGTAGAGCGCTCGCCTAGCACGTGCAGGGCACTAGGTTCAATCCTCAGCACCACATAAAAATAAAATCAAGGTATTGTGTGCAACTAAAACAAAATATTAAAAAAAAGAAAGAAAGAATGTAAGTATCTATGGGCCTCTGTCTTGGGGCAAGTGAGTTCCCACTTAAGTACCACCCTCTCCCAAACCAGGAACCACAGAAGACAGACAGCCCCAGCCTTGCAGTCTCACTGCCCAGGCTGTGAGGAGGCTGCTTCCAAGAAGCTGTCTTAGCATGCAGGGACACAGGCGAGTTAGTCAAGGAGGTCAGGGGACAATGGTGGCAAAGATAGACACCCAAAGGTTTTTTACTTTTCCTTTCATGAAATGTTACATATGAGATGCAGGAGATGACACTTGTCCCTCTAGCTTTCCTGAACTGAAAACTCCTGTGACATCCACCAAGAGGGAATGAGTTCTGACTTGCCTCGAATAACCTTTCATCTGTCCTGTGGCTTATCCCTTATTGTAAATGAGGCCAGCACTCTCTCTTCAACCTGAGGAGCACCTCACTTGCTCTAGAAGTCTTAGTTCTTAGCAGTGGTGGCCTGAGGGACTCCTTGGTTTTAGGGACAAGTCTGCTTTTTCTCAATCTATCCAGTACATCAGGCCACCTCTGTTTTGTCAAAATATCAGGGCAAGCAGCCCATCTCCTACTTGATGATGGATCATAGGATCAGCTTTAATTCGGTATGATTTAGGGAAAGGAAGACCTGAGACTATCCCCAGTGATTCTGATTTCAAAGACTTAAGGAGCCCCAGCTTCTCAGTTTTTAACAAGAACCCCAGGAATTCCACTGCATGTGGAGAATCATTGAGTTAAAAGGTGTTTATTTTTCATGGAAAAATAAAATCACAAGGGTCAATGATCAAAGATAGGATTTTATTGAGCATTTTAGCCTTCCAGAAAAAGTCCTCGGTGGACATTATGGAGTGGCATGAGGGAACCTGTACCATGTGCTGGGCACTGTAGAATGTCTGACCTGGAATGACAGGCTCTTGTGGTTGAAGAGGACTTGCAGACATCCTCTATCGAGGAACCTCATCCACACCATTACAACATCCCTGCCAAGAGATTGTCTCGCCTCTGCTTAAAAGCCTCCAGCCACAGGGAGCTCTCCTACCAAGGAAGCTCTCACTGTGTTGGACTAGCTATTTCACGTGGAACTGCAATCTGGCCCCACCCTCATAATTAATATCACTGGTGCCATACAGAGAAAGGCTATCTTTCCCTTCTCATGACAAAGCTTTATTATTTGGAAGCAGTGTTCTCATCTCCAGGTCAAACGCTCGCTAGTTCATGTGACAAATATGTTGTGCAGGGAACATTTTCTGTGAGTCAGGGTCATCCCAGGTGCTGAGGAAACAGAAGAGAGAGAGGGCATCTGCTAGGTTTTTTGAGAAGAGTTAGCCAGTGATAATGAAAATGTAAATGAATAGAAAAAGGCAAGGAGATTATGACAGGGTAATGTAGTAGGCCCTGAGTACAGGAGCCTCGCTAGGTAAAAAAATCAGGTGAGCCCTTTCTGAGAAGGTGACCTGAGGCCTGAGGCCAGCACCACAATTAGGGTCTTTTAGGCTGGGAGAAGGCTTTGAATTTTATATCAAATGAAAGGAGAGACTACTACCCTTTTTGTTTATTCCATAGTGCAGAGTATTTTTGCTGAACCCTCCCCCCAACACCTTCTCTCAAATGTGCTCAGAATCAGTGCAGCCAACAGCTGGATCTGATGAACCCAGAGCAGAAACTGCTCAGCTGCTGCCCTGTCCTGCACACAGAGCAGCTTTTCAGTAAGATGTAAGCAGTCTCAGAAGACAATATTTATAAGCCTCAGAACATAGAATTAATGCCATTGAGTAAAAAAATACAGACATAGCCTCTCACACCAAAAAAAAAAAAAAATACTTACAACTCCTCCTTCAGGAAATGGGCACTTGCTACCTACCGGGTGTTGCTTCCAGGATGTTGCAGTGGCTTCAAGCCCAGTGTCATGGAATAGAGAGAAAACCCCTGGCTATAGTGACTTCCCCAACAGCTTGGGGTGCTAAAGAACAGGAAGGCCTGCATCTTTCTTTGCTTTGGGGGTAGAATGTAGATGGATGGGGAAGTAGAGAGATGGTTTTGTTCTCATTCAACCAATCAGAAATGCCTCTGCATTAGCTGACTGCTGAGAAAATGACCCACTCTAGCTGACAGCTGGGGCCAGCAGCTAATTTCCTGCTGCCAAAGCCCAGACATAGGTAGCCAGAATCTTGCTAGTCTTGGGACTTCCTGGGAGATGGGATGAAATCCTCAGAGCAATGTTGGAAGTGATCAGCCAGAGAGCCAAGGAGGAAAGGCTGGGAAGCAAGCCAATGACCCAAGGGGGCCAAAAACATTTGCCAGCTAGAGATTCTCCTTCAGCTCAGGTCCCATGTATTATACCTAGAAGAAGAGGTTGTGAGTGGTCCTCTGGCATGCTGGGCTGGTAGCAGAGTGGCACTGCTGTTGGGGAAGCACTTCAGCGCCTGGGTAAGGACCCATAGAACAGACAGAATAATTCCTCCCAGAACACAGGCTGCATGAGAAAAGAAGATTGGGGCCCATCTATGGGTTACATATCCTCCCATTAACTGGCATGGTATATGATTGGCAGGCTACTGTGCCTAACCTGGCACCTAATAAAAATGAATCAGGAGTGCCCATATTTCAGTTTAGGGTCATTACTTCTACACTGACTTATAGGCAGAGCTCTGTGTGAGTTCTTGCTTCCCACATCCCCATTGCCTCCCAGACACTGACCGGAACCACCAAGAGGTCAGTAGTTCCATCCAAAGCAACTAACATCAGCCACGGCCATGCAAGGAACAGAGTATGGGGGCTTTTGTGATAGCATCAATGGGCCCAGGGGACCGTAGACGAACACCAGGGAGCTAGACAGAGGGCCTGAGTCTTTCAGAGTGAGTCCAGCCAGAAATGGAACCAGGGTCCAGGTGCTGCTGGGATGTGAGAATGTGTCCATCTGTGGGTGTCTGTCCTGCATGTGAGCGTGCCTGGGTGTGTGAGTGTGCAGCTCTGGGTGAGCCTGCTGATTTTCCTGAAGTCTGATCCAAGCATGCCAGGCTCCCAGATGGTGAGTATTCCCAGACCCTTCACTTAAAAAAAAAAAACAGGCCCAGGAGTCTTCCATGCCTCCAGAGTCACATGAGCTCCATTTGTCCTCCTGGGATACAGAACAAAAGCGTGAACCATAAGCCCAGTGTACTACAGTGTTGGGCTCTTTGGAGTTATTCCTAAAGGGGGGAGGGAGTGTATCCACATGCCATTGGGCCTGAACCACCCCCTTCACCAGCCCCATGGAAGCCCAGGGAACCCTGACCCTCACTATTCCCAGAGCCACAGCCCATCTTGAAACCCAGCAGTCACTCTCTGCCTACAGTGCAAAGCCTTTTGCCCTGGTCCAGGGGGGACACACAGTAGTGCCCTCCACCATGTCTTTATCCAGGCTCCTCAGACACTGCCTGTGGCTGGGCTCCGTCTGCTCCCAGGACTCACCAGGAGTCCAGCTGTGCATGGGTACAGGGGAGGCTCAGAAATCAAGGGCTGGATTGGAGATTCATCTTCAGGCCCCACTCTCATCTTGACTTGAAGGAGCTCCATGCTCCTGTCCCCTTGATAAGATGGAGCTATCATCCCTCCATCTGGAAGACAGATACAGCCTGTTGCCTCAATACCAGAGTATAGAAGGGCCCCAAGGAAGGAGTCACTCTGGGAGTGAATGCCATGGCTTTGAACTCTAAGCCCTACCCGACCCCCAGGGGCTGTTGCTTGTAGGGTCAATGGGCTCCATCTCAGTCTGTTAACCACCGGCCGTCTTTCTCCCACTTAAGCCAATGGCAGCCCCACCTCAGGACTGAGCACCGGGGCCATCGTGGGCATCCTCATTGTCATCTTCGTGCTGCTCCTGGTGGTCGTGGACATCACCTGCTACTTCCTGAACAAGTGTGGCCTGCTTATGTGCATCGCCGTCAATCTGTGTGGAAAAGCTGGGCCTGGAGCCAAGGGCAAGGACATGGAGGAGGGCAAGGCGGCCTTCTCGTGAGTGCAGACCTGCTGCCCTGCCAAGGTCTGGGATCTGCCCTAGCCCAGGAGCCCAGCAGTGGTGCCACCCCCAAGCCATCCGCTGAGCCCTGTAGTGACCTCTCCCTCAGCTTCACCTTCTCCACTTGGAAACACTGAGGGGCAAAAAGCATCAGAGAAAAGCCCCTGCAAACATAGTCTTGGGTCAGGCTTGGGAGCCATCTTTTTGAAAAGCAGACTCTTGGGCCCAACCCACATCCAGCATATTAGAATCTCATGAAAGTTAGGAAATCCCTGAGATACTCCAAGCAGGGGCCTTGTCAGAGTAAAGGACCTGGAAAGGAGCTATGGCAGAGGGATCAGCACTTGGGGACACACTCACCTTGCTCCCATTCATTCATTCATTCATCACTAAGCAAATATTTACCAAGCAGCTAGTTCAAGGCACTGTTCCCAGGCTCTAGGTTACAACAGGGTATGAAACAGATAAAATTTCTATCCTCATTTAGCTGATGATCCAGATAGTGTTCCTCCAACAGCATCTGTGCAGAAACAGATACTGAGCCAGTTAGCGAGAACATTTGAAGATGGTCACCCAGTGGGGCACAGCTTGGGCAGGCTAAGAAAGGAGGGAGCAAGAAAATAATTTCTTTAATCCCATTTCATGCCAGGCACCATATACATGTGTACACATGTGCACATACATCTACCTACTTACAAGTGTATCCATATGTGTATATGTGTGTCTGTTTGAGCACTTATCTACAAGATATTGTGCTAAACACTTCACATGCATTATCACATTTAATTTTCATAACTAGTGAGGTACATGCGATTATTTGCCCCAAGTTACTGGGTGATTACATCAGATACTGAAGGTCCCACAGCTATCAAGGGTCAGTCTGAGACACAGATGCTTGTATCTGGCTCTAGATGCCCACCTGGCCAGCTTGGACTAGGTAGGCCTAGGTACCCTGAGTCATAGCTGCTTTCCTTGGGAATACCCACAATGGCCCCTGATCTCACCAGCTGAACTCTGTCCACAGGAAAGATGAATCTAAGGAGCCCATCGTGGAGGTTCGAACTGAGGAAGAACGGACCCCAAACCATGACGGAGGGAAACACACAGAACCCAATGAGACCACGCCGCTGACAGAGCCCGAGTATGTGGGCAGAGAGGGGCTGACACCTCCTAAGTAGAGTGCACAACCCACCTCGCCACCCTACCCCCACTTGCCATGCTTCCCACTCAGTTACCAGCCAAACATGGCAGGCCAAGGTTTTGAAGCCCTTGGCCAGAAGACCTACTTGGCTAGGAAATGCCTGGTCCCTCCCACTTTCATCAGAGGGCATTCTTGGTTCTATTTGGGGTGACTGGGTGCCCTTACAGAACCCCTTGTGCCACAGAAGTCGGGGACCTACCTGGTAAAGTTTCCTGGCCCTCGTCCACTCCGAAGCCTCAGGATCCTCCAGAGGCCCTGACCAGCTGTGCCTGCCTGCCCACCTGCCTGTCTATCAACCATCTTAAGGGTTTAAGGGAACAGAGTTTCACAGGTCCATAAAATCCATGGCTGGAAGAACCCACGGCTCTTAGGAGCTATTGGAACACTTGTCATCTGCTTATTCCTGACTTTCCCCATCACTGGCCTGGGAAGCCCTGCAGGATAGCGGGGCCATGGTGCTCTGGGGCCCTGGAAGCCGATAGCAGGGAGACACTGCACTGAAGCTGCCTCTCCTGAAGTGGAAATCTAGGGCAGGCATGAGAAAGCCCCAGACAGGTCTGTAGGTGACCGGAGCCCTGCACAGAGAGCTGGAGGGCCATCAGCAGGGAGGAAAGGCTAGCAGGTCCCTTTGAGACTGCCATGTTCTTTGTCGTCTCCTGTGTCCTCTGATGCCCGCCTGGGCTGTACTTCCTCTCAGCGTGCTCGTTTCTCTGTGGGCCTTTGTTCCTGCCCGTGCGTGACTGCATGCCTACCCATGGCCCCTCTCCTTGGCTTCAGCCCTCCTGCCCAGCTTCTCTGTCACGTCTCAGCTTCATTGTCTATTCTCTTCTACTTTCTGTCCTTCCCACAGGCTGCCTGCCGACACCACAGCCACTGTCGAGGACATGCTGCCTTCTGTCACCACTGTCACCACTAACTCTGACACTATCACCGAAACCTTTGCCACTGCACAGAACAGCCCCACCAGTGAGACCACCACCCTGACTTCCAGTATTGCCCCGCCGGCCACGGCCGCGCCGGACTCAAATTCTGTGCCCGCTGGGCAGGCCACCCCTTCCAAGGGGCCCAGCGTTGCTGCCTCCTCCCCGCCCCCAGCTTCAGCCCCTAAGGTTGCGCCCCTTGTTGACCTGAGTGATACCCCGACCTCAGCTCCTGCCAGCAATTTGTCTTCTAGTGTCCTGGCCAATCAAGGAGCTGTCCTCAGCCCAAGCACCCCAGCCAGTGTGGGGGAGGCCTCTAAGGCCCCTGCGGCCAGCAAGCCGACCCCCGCACCAACCCCCACCCCCGCTGGAGCAGCCAGTCCCCTAGCAGCAGCAGCCGCCCCTGCCACAGAAGCCCCCCAGGCCAAGCAGGAGGCTCCCAGCACCAAAGGCCCGGACCCGGAGCCCACCCAGCCCGGCGCTGCGAAGAGCCCACCTGAGGCAGCCACAGCCCCCGCTAGCCCGAAGAGCGAGGCTGCCTCCGTCAGCGCCACAAACCCTTCCCAGGGCGAGGACTTTAAAATGGACGAAGGGAACTTCAAGACCCCAGATATTGACCTTGCAAAGGATGTTTTTGCAGCCCTGGGCTCTCCTGCTCCCGCCGCTGGGGCCAGTGGACAAGCCCCTGAGCTTGCTCCTTCCACTGCAGACAGCTCTGTTTCGCCTGCACCAGCAAAGACCGAGTACGGCCTCTCTCTGTCTGCTGTCGTCAGGTTGTGTCCTGTGGTGGTGTGCGTTTGTGCTGTGCTGTGTCCTCCTTGTTAGATGTGTCCTCAGCCTCACCCAGGGCTTCTCGCAGCCAACTGTCAACCAAGGGGCTGGGATGAGGCAGTAACAGGGGCAGGCAGCAGGGCTCCCTGAACGGAGCAGCTTCCTGCTCTCTAATTAGGCCATGTTAATTATGTTTTATCCTTATCATCCTAGCAGTGCTTCTGTTTTCCCTGGGGGTGCTTTGCAGTGGGCCACTGATGAGCACAGCTTGGAAGGTGCTAGGAGGCCAAGGTGCCCTTATCTGCCACCCCGGGGCCCAGTCAGTGTCACCCAGAACCAGGCTAAGTCCCTCCCTCCGAAAGGCACCATTATGCAAAAAGAAGAAAGTAGCCCCCCAAGGCCGATGCACAGGGAGAATGCTGTCAGCAGCTTCATCACACACTGGCTGAGCTGCCCACCCCCCACCGCCATTCACTCAGGTTTCTGCTGCCCTTAGAGTATCTGGGAAGACTAGGAACTCCCGAATACCAAATGCCTCTGTAACAGTATTTTCTCACCCAACCCAGGTCACCATACAGGTATCATCCTTAAACAGCACGGAGTGGGGGTAGGGGAGGGACAAGCCAAAGAGGTGGTGGTGGAGGTGGGTGAGGGGCAGAGGAGGACCTGGAACCACTATGGGGAACCCAGTGCAGCACACATTACTTAGAGCAAGTTGAGGGGCTCTAAGCAGCTTGTCAAGGTGAAGAACAGGCTGCCTTAACCACCCTATTCCCCTGCCCCAGGTCAAAACAGCCCCAACATCAAGGTAGGCTGCACATTAGAATCACCTGGGGTGCTTTCAGAAGTCACTGTGTCCAGGATTTTCAGGGACACAGCCCAGGCATCAGTGATTCTTAGAGCTCCCAAGTCATTCCAACATGCCTCCAGGGTTGGAGACAAGGGCTGGAACTGCCCCCCCCCAACCAGGGCCTGGCAGAAGGGGGGAGATGTCTGCAAACCAGGGTCTCAGCCTTGCTGTTTTCCTGATTCTCTGCAGGAAGGGCCCTGTAGAAGCAAAGTCGGAGTCCCAGGAGTCAGAAACAAAGCCAGCGCCAGCCGAAGTCAAGACGGTCCCCAACGACGCCACACAAACAAAGGAGAATGAGAGCAAAGCATGATGGGTGATGAGCAACGAGCAGAAATCAAAATAAAAAGTGACACAGCAGCTTCACCAGAGCATTTCCAATACCACACAGGCGCGCGCGCGCACACACACACACACACACACACAGTCTCATTCCTCTAGTGTCTTTTGCCTTTAAAAAAAAAACTAAACAGATAAACATGGGATCTCCTTTTTGTAGGTTTATAGAAAGGGCTCCTTTGTTGCACACTCACTTGTAAGAAAATGAGACAAAAAGGTTAAACCCACAGCCAAACTAGGACACTCCGTTCCCTGAAACCATTTAAAAATCAAACAAAAGGACCCCAAATTAAGAATCTAGGAAGCTAAGGGAAAAAAAAAAAATCTAGGTTCAGAAAGACCACACTTGGTGTTACCGATTGGCACAGACCAGTTTCAGAGAAATACTTTCAGGCACTAAGACTAACCGAATGAACAAAGTCCACAGTTTATTTTTATACTTTCAGTCGAGTTCGAACTCTGTAAAACCTCATAAATAAGTTATCATTTCTGTTCACTTTGTATTTGTTCAGTATGCAAAGTGTGTCACCTTTCTAGCTGAATTCAGTTCCCACGTAGACTCTTGTTTTGTAGGAAAAATGCCAAATTGCAGCTTCTGGGGGTAGATCTCAATTTGCAGTATTCGGACTTCTTTTGCTTTCTTTTCCTTTGGCTGTTGTTTTGTTGTTTGTGTTGGTTTCCTCCCTTCCTTTCTGCCAACTTTGTTTTCCAGTGTTTACAGGTTGACAAATGTTTGACTTCGGTTGTGTTTAAATGTCCATGTAAAATAGCTGCTTTTTGTTGTTGTTGTTGTTGTTTTTGTTTTTCTCTTCTTTTTTAGAGTTACAAATACCGCCTAGAGGTAGGTAGGATCCTCGTGGGCTTGCTTTAGCACAGGGTGACTTTACAAAAGATGATTGTTTACAGTGGTTCTACCCCCTTTTCTGATTTGCAGTTTTTGCCTGTGTTCAGCTCAGGTGAAAATCCATCTCATTGGAATGGTTTTGCCTTTCTATTTTCAGTTCTTTTTGTGTTTTCTTTGGGGGTTAGACCACTTTCTGATTAGCTGCCACCTGCCTGTATCTGTGACAAAGGATCTGCCTCCCAGGCGTTCTCGCCCTTCCTTTTGAAGGACTCCTTAGGCTTTGTTGAATGAAGCAGAGAAGATTGTATAGTTGGGGCTGGTCTTGGTGAACACACATTTATACCCCAAACATCCCCTTTTTGTAGAAAGCCAAATAAAATATATACATCCCATTTCCTTTTGAGCCCAGAATCTAGATTTGAGCGGAAGAGCATGTGTGCTTCAGGGAATTAGTGTCTTTTTTTGGAAATCTGTTGAAGTCAAGTAACATCGGCCTTCTGTTCATTTTAGGCAGCATTTGTAGAAACAAAGAAAAAAAAAAACTACTGTCTGGAGTCATAACACAACTTTCCTGGATTGGAAACCAAGTGGGGGAAAAATACAGAAACTTTAAGGGGGATGGGAGGGGGGAGAAGGGAAAAGCCAGCCCTTTGTATAGAAATTTTGCTTTTGTTTCTCATTCTACTTTAGAACTGCAAGCTTGTGCACTGTGGATGCGTGAATATTTTAGTGTGAAACGTGTTTTTGTCATAGTATTGAAATAAAACTTCAACATAGTTTGGTTGTGGAAGGTATAGCAGATAGTTCAGAAAAACATTCAGGAAACAAAAATAACTCTTAAAAGGAATCAAAGCCTTTAAACAAAGAAAATAAAATAAAGATGATGATGATGGTCATGAAGAGGATGCTAAGTCAACAGAAATTGGTCCTCTTCCGGCATGCGTTCCTTTCCCAAGGTACAAGCAGTGTGAGGCCCGGGGTGGCAAGGCTGCCTCCGCGTCCGCTCTGTGGGCCACTCCCCCCAAGGTTCTGACACTTCTGCAGTCTGATCAATGGCAATGCTAGATTATAATTTCAAACTGTGAAAAATAATGGTCTTGTCATTTGCTAAATGTGGGGTTATTTTGCATTTTCTCAGCTCCTGGGGATGGAAATGGAGGATCCCAGAATACACAGTCCTGGCCCCTTTGATTCTAGGGTCTGCACAGATCAAGAGTTCAAATGCACAGGCCTTCAGGACCAAGTAGCATGGAGACAGCTCTTAGCGTGCACTGGGCAGAATGGGAGAGGTGGGCGCCTGAGGCAGGGAGGGCCTGGTGGGGAGGGGCCAGCTCTTGGGTTGCCAGGCTGTTCGGTAGAATCGATTCCTTATCTTGTGATTTTAATGCCTTGACCTCCTAGGTCCAGGCCATGTGATACTTCCTGGAGACCCGGAGACACCATGTATTTCACTCTAAGTGGGTGTGGTTAGGCAAACTAATTTTGGTTCTGTTGGTGAGGAAGAGACAGAAGTACAGTCAGCCCTCAGATAACCTGGCCCAGGGCAGCTGACCCCCCAGAACCCTGGCCCACCACGAGCTGGAACCCAAGACTGCCCACACTTCCGTCTGCCGCTCTTGCTTTTACACATATGTTTGTCTCCGCATGCGTGAGCCTTCCTTATCTTTTTCTTTTCTTTTTTATTTTTAAAGAGCAATGCTTCCTCTAAAATCAAAGAGGGAGTCACTTTATTCTCAAGATCTTCTATCTTTTATGTTAAGAGATAAAAGCTTATAATTTTGCTTTTTTAATTTTTGGAAGGAGGGATCAACTCCACCAGTTTCCGTGTCGATGTGTCTATATGTGTATGTGCCATACATATGTATTCACATGAAGACCGGCTTGGCCAAGTTCTGCGGGAGGCACTCAGGTGCCACGGACAGGTCTCCAATCTTGAAGGGCCACAGTGTATATAGAGCAGCTTTGACGTGGAACTCTATTTTCACACTTTTCTATGGAACCTCCCACATCCCAGGTTTTCATCCTAGGCTGTCTGTCTGGATGGTGGTTTTCAAACCTCCATTAACATCCCTACCCAGCATTCTGTACTTCGGGGGCCTTCTCTCTTGTTATAAAACTTTTTACCAAGTGAAACATCAGCACCACCTTTGTTTCCATTCTCACTGGTGTAAATACTGAGTACTAACTGAGAATTTTGACTTTGCATTCTGTCAGAATACTTGTGTTCAATAAAAATTGAAAGAAAAAAAAGCAGTTATGGTCTAACTGAGCTTTCTTTTGACAAAATGAGAGTTTCTATAAGTCAAATGTAGACATGTCAGTGGTGGGGGGGGTGGCTTTGGTTGTTTTTGTTGTTGTTTTTGTTTTGTTTTGTTTTGTTTTCTGTTTTGAATCCTGTTAGCAAGGTCAGTTCACCCCAATGTGTTGAGCTTATGTTGCCTGAATGATGGTGTTTTGTTTTGGTTTTCTCACAGGTGGATAGAGGACTCCTGGTTTAGAAGGGCCAGACATTAGATTCAGAAAGAAACTGTTTAAATCATGGTTCTACCACTTCCTGATTGAACTTGGAAGAGTTACCTAATTTCTCTGAGACTCTGCTCTTTAATAGACAGGAAGTGCCTAGAGAACAGACTTGGTTATGTACTGGTTGATAGACAAGGCAATATTACAAAGGCCTAGGGTAATGCTTTCTTGGCTCATAGCAGCTACTCAGTAAATGGGAGTAAGTACTGTTGGTATCCCAGGCATGTGATATCATCAAACCCGTACCTGAGCTTTGAGATCACAACAGTGAAGCAGATGCAGGAGATGTATTCTAGAATAAGCCATGCCTCCCTCCTATTGCTTCGCTGTGCCCATCAGCATTTAGAGCCATAACTCAGCCCCTAGAATTTATCAAAGTCTCTGAACTAAACAAAGAGGGAGGAAAACTGTGTGGGCTCATGATTCTATATATACTTCTGTCTGGCTGTGTTTGGAAGAAGCAATCACTATAGTTAGAATTATTTATTAAATGATGGAGTTGGGATTTCCTGGAGGAGACCTCACTGAGGAGCCAGGTCTAGCAAGGCTCCCAGGGCACCAAAATGTAAACAGGTGCCCACTCTTAGGACTGACTTTGCATGTACATGAATCCGAGAATGACGCCTCCTTCATCTTATATCCCAGGTGCCTCTCTCCCCTATTCTAATGACACAGAGCTACATGCATCTATGGGATTTCCTTTGCCACCAAATTCCAGGTGCATATATCAGGGTGTGAGGGGTGGTGAGAAATAAAAACGTTGCTTATCAAAAGTTGGACAAAACATGAAATGATGACCTCTCCATCCTTGCATCCATGAGGGCTTGCTTCCAGAACTTTCCTCCTCCAGGTTAGTTTCCTCCCTGATCAACTCAGTATGTATTAAGCATCTGTGAGGTGCTTGGGATACAGCAGTGAGCAAAAGAGCTCTCTGGTGGAAGCTGCATTTAAACACAGGAGTGAGGCAGATGATAAACACAGAGATAACCTAACATGTTGTGGTAGTCATTAGGACTGTTCACAAATACTCCTGCTCTCCTTTTCCTCCATCCAGGCACATAGTAGAATTGCACTTCTCTACTCATTTAAAGGCAGGCATGACTATGTGACTTAATGAGCAGAAGTGGTGTGAGTCACTTCCAGATAGAACCTTTGTTATGACCCTCTCCCCACCAACACAACAGTCAGCAATGCTTCAGGTACTGGAAGTACCATTACCTGGGCCCAAAGGAAGGGACGTGGACAGAAGACGCATGGTGGACATGAAGTGTACGTGAATGATAAATCCAGAGTTTTTGAGTGGTGGGCTGGTAAATGCTTGACGGCAGGCTCTCCAAGGGAAGAAGGGGGCAGCACAAACTTTATTGATAATAAAAGATGCAATTTACAAGTAATAAAATGCACAGTACTCTGTTGAAATTGCATATCCCCCATTGATATTCACAGAATGTTTTGGTACATTTTTGCTGAGGTCTTGTGTCCATAGTCAGCCTATAGTTCCAGCTCACAAATGAGTGTAGTTCCAATCTGAATGTTGGTTGATACGTTCAGTTGAAACAATGAAGATCTATGTCAGAACTTGACTGTTTTGAACCCAACTGAAGTTTTGAATCTGGTGTAAATTGCTGAATGCTACAAGAGTACTGTCTCGTGTGTGTGTGTGTGTGTGTGTGTG